CACATATAAATGAATAGTCGATGAAGCCATCAAATGAGTGCAAGGTAGAAGAGACGCTTGTGCGTTTTTTTTTTCTGATTTTCGCTCTTTTGCCCCATTGGGTTGAACCATTAGTGTTGCAAAATCTACATTTTGTCTCTACTACATCAGCCTTGTAATATAACATGCATTCGTTAACACAGCATTCTATCTTTTCAGATAGTAGCTCTGACTCCGACACTAACTTTTTGGTTTTGTACAAGTCATCAAAGACTAAATTGTCTTTAGCATTCGTCTCATTTAATAATGTTGTTATCTGATTGAAGCATTCTCTGGGCATGTTGAAATCAGATTTCATACTCAACATTCTAAGTGCAGTCGATAATTTTGTATGTGTAATGTCTCATTCCCATGTTGTTGCACAGTATTTAATAAATTATATAATTGTTGTGTTTCGTTGTTTGGCTCTTGATTATCATTAGGTGCACTCCCAACAAATGAGCCCTGTTGACATCGACAATTATTTCCATATATGCACTAGAATCGTGTTACGTTAGAGGGGCATAACTTGATAAGGCGCCAGCATAACCATACTGAACATTTGGTTTAAACTAACCATGTGAAGTTAAATACCAATAATTTAGTTTAAATCTCCCATGGTAAAGATCCAACTTCATTTTGTCAGGCGTCATGTACGTTTGATTCTTATGCTTGACATAGGGCATCAAAAGTTGCCTTTTGAAAGGTAAGCGGGCAGCTGCGTTGCCACTTATGCAAATTCCTTAACACGATTTAAGAACTTGTCAGTGAGTTCTTTTCTTCTTGGATGTTATCTGTTATGCATCCATAATATCAAGTTTCAAATATCCATCTGTAGCATTGATGTAACTTTATAGATTTGTACAATTATATATTAGTTGTACGCATATTTTGTATGTATGGGATATCTTAAACCCAAACATCAATCTTTACATAGAAAGCACAAAAAATTTCTTTGTATTACATATAACCTTTAAATTGAACATAAAAACAAAATAATTCTTATGTGTTACATACCTAATGCCTAAACTTCAAAATAAACATAAAAATCACATAATTCTTATGTATTACATACATAACAACACATAATCATCTACTCTTTTAATAGGGCGATTAGATGATCGGCGTTTAAGGTGACAAAATTATTAACATGTTTGAAAATGTGTTATTTTTTATGTACATTTAATGTTTATTTTTAGTGATATTGCACTACATTTTTGTGTTTTTGATTACATGTACAATAGGTTAAGCAATTGGAGAAAAAAGAGCGAAAATAGAGTAAAACGAGATCAAATGGAGCAAAGAAGTACAAAGTGAACTGGCACCTAGGCACTAGCGTCTAGCGACTAAGGATCAGACCCTATACGTATAAATAAAGAGCCTGGCGTCATGACGCCAGACAGTTATCTTGCGCTTCTAGAAGATTGACGCCTAAGCACCATAATTGGTTTTTTTTTTTTTAAATGCAATGTGCTTGGACGAATTTTGAAGGGGCATCTGAAGTGAATCTTGGGGATTTCGAGGGTTATCTTAAGGGGGGCTTGGTGTCTCTTCGTTTGAAATAGGGGGAAGTGCCTTTTGGAGTTCTTAGCGACTCTTAACACTTAGGAAGAAGAGAGAAAGGGAGGAATTGAGAGATTTCTTCATTTCTTGCATTTATCTTTTAGAGATTGGAGAGGAGTGCAAGGGATTGCTATTTTTTGTGCAAGGAGGGCGTGAATATTCTGTAAAAATAAGTCTTGTACTCTTTTTGTATTTGCTTTGAAATATTGCAATATAAATGTATGATTTCAATGCATTTGCAATGAAGAATCCATGTGTTTCTTCATGTTTAGTGTGTAGTTTTTCTTACCCTATACTCTTGTTATGAAGTAGTGACATGCGTAGAAAAATGCGTAGAGAAAATCTCCACCTTGCGAATATCCAGCCCCTTTGGAGAAATACATCATGAAGTTTCTTACACCGAAGTGGGTTGGGCAATCATACCAACTAGCAACTGCAAACATTCAACAAGTTCAAGTAACGCAAGAACTTGTTGAAAATACCTGGCTTAATCAACTTTTTTGTTGCATTTTCATTATATGATCCGACAGAGTGAACTCCACCTACAACTGTATTCTTCAACAGTTTATAGATATTACAATCAGGTTTCATAGCTCGCAATGCCTTCAAAATTCCTTGTTGTGCCAATAAATCTTTCACCCTTGTTTGCCACAATCTGAAGTTCTCTGTTTAATTGAACTTCATTATCTCGAATTTTGCACCAGATATTGTCATTTGAAATTAATATTGCAATGAATTTCTTTTGCCTTGTATTGAAACAAAACACATCACAAATAAGTTCAAATAAACCTGAAATTTCCTTTGTCAATTGCAGCAATTTTCCGCAGTTTCCTGTGATTCGTGAATCAAAATTTTCACACGAAACACCTTTCATGTTCGCAAAAAAATTCGCCTGAAATACTGCGAATACCAGCCGAACTTCACTTGTCACAATTTCTCCTGCAACAAACCTGCGAATATCCACGAAATTCGCGAACTCCACCTGTCGCAATTTCTCTTGAGACAAACTTATGAACTCCGCTGGCCGAACTCTGCCTGTCGCAACTCCTGCGATAAACTTGCGAACTCCGCTAGCCGAATTCCTTTGTCCCTTTGTTTGCAAAACGAGGCTCCTGTTCGTGCTAACACTTCGGCTAAATTGTTGTCCCGCGAGCGAAAACCTTCGCGAAATACCTCCGCGAGACCACTGTTCGCGAATAATCGCGCCTGCTCGCTTCGCCTGTACCCTGTCGAACTCCAACTGTCGCAAACTCCACCTACGACAAATTTGTGAACAATCCGCTGGTCGAGCACCACCTGTCGTAACACCTCCTGCTACAAATTTGCGAACTCCGTTGGTCGAGCACTACCTGTCTCAATACCTCCTCCGACAAATTTGAGAACTCCGCTAGCCGAGCACCATCTGTCGCAACTCCTATCGCGAACACCTGCAGATTCTCTAGCAACTCCTATCGCGAACTCCTGCTCTACCGTTTGGGAACAGTGGACGAACTACTCCGTGAACTGTTGCGACGCTTATTAGCCTTCGTCGGCACTTTTCTTGGTCGTCCTGAGCCGCTGACCCTCGCCGCACCTTTGCGCGAATGCCTCTACGAAAAGTCTGCCTCGGACCTCTTATCGTTGAACTCCTCTGTGAACTCCTCTGATTCCTCTCTGATTCCTGTGAAACTAGCGAACCCCGCTCGACTACCTCTTCTTCTCGTCGCTGCAGTCCTCTCAAAGTTTGTTCCTTCGCTCCAGCCAAAGAATTCGCTCCCAGGAAATCCGAGAACTTCCTCCCTTGGGCCTCCAGCAAAGGAAAGATTCAAAGGCAATATTCCCCTGGTGAAAATCCAAAGGCAATATTCCACATGAATAAGAGAGTTCGGCAGTTCGCGCAAACAGAAAGTTCGCATGGTACGCGCGAAGAGGCGGTTTGCGGTTCTCAGCAGGCTTCAGCGACTTCGGCGTTCGTCTTTTAATTCGCAAACCGCCTAAAGTCGTTGTCTGCCCGCGAACCAAAAGACGAACGTTGAAGTTGCTGAAGCCTGTGGAGAACCACAAACCGCCTCTTTGCGCGTACCACGCGAACTCTTTGTTCGCGCGAACTACCGAACTGCCGCACTAATCATCTGCTTCGCACTCCTTCGCAGAAACCTCGCGGATGCATGTCGCTGAAGATGCCCGATGTCGCGATTCGCCGCTATCGCGAACTGCTTCGTGCTTGTTTGCCAAAACCGCGAACTGCAAACTGATCGTGCGAAACTGAAGCCTCTTTTTTGACGAATTCGCCTCTGCCTCTGTGCGCGAACTCCTGTCGCGCGCAGATCCTAATCGCGAACCTTCTTTTTGTCGCGATCCAATGCCTTCGCTGAAATTGCCGAGCCCGCTTCTCCTGTCGCGAGCGAATTGTGCCGCAAATCCTTCGCCCTGTGGCGTTCGCGTGAAGCTTGCGGACCTCCGAATTCGTCTATCCCGAATTCGCCTGTGTTGAAATGTCGCGAACTTCTGTATCGCGATCCTCCTTGAAGTGCTGCCAATCGAGAATCCTCTCGCCTGGCTGTCACGCGAACCCTGTGAAATCCCTTGGAAATCCTTCGCGAACTCTTTCGAGGAACTGCCTCAAAATTACCGCCCGGACTTCACCTTCCAAATCCCCAAATCTTTCTTCTTACTTCCTGCGCTGCTAAAGTTTTCTTCCCTGCCCTAGAACCTATGTAATTTAGGGAAAAAAAAACAAGAATCAACACAAAATCAGAAGAATAATACAGAGATTTAACGAGGTTTGGCGAAGATGCCTACATCTTTGGGAGCAGAGTGACGAATTCACTATTTCAGAGGAGTTACATACCCATAGGGTTACACATCTATTTATAGATAAAACCCACAGATAAATTTACAAACATGCCCTCGCTCCTCCAATCCATTAATCCAAGAGACACACCTCTTCATTTCAGGAGACACACCTCTCAAAATCCAAGAGACTCCAAATTCTTGGTATAGGAGTCATACCTAACAGTTGTAACTTGCCTTGTTTATTTTGTTAAGTCTATACTGAATAAACGATAAAATGGGACTATTTCATAAAAGACTATTGTATTTTAAAATTCACTTCTATCTTGCTTTTGATTTTTTTATTTAAGTATATTAAATTGCAATAGATACTTCTTTTCTAAACTATTTTAGGCATAATGATATTTTTAAAAAATAAGCAGCTTGATTTTGTTATGAACTTACTTTCTTTACCTTCCTTAAATTTTTTATGATTTTTGTTTTAACTTTTCAATTTCATCAATAAATTTTCACTGCAAAGTCGGCAGAAAATTTGCTACATTATATGATAATTATTACCTTGAGTTATCCTTTTACTTTTTGATGGATTAGTTATAATGTGTCAAATGTGTAATTGTGTATTCTATCTTTTGTCTTTTGTTTATTAGACGGAACAGGGTGACATTTCTGTTGCCATCCCAAATGAGGAGGCTATTGAAGTTGATTGTTTACTTGAAGAGCCACACGCTGAAGCACTAGATGTTGATGCCATGTATTTGAACTCAGAAACTTTAGAAAATTGTTTAAATGTGGAAGGAACTCCATGCAGTACGGGGTTATATGACCAGCGAGACGATTGTGGTATGGTTTTCTTAGATGATTTTGACATGCTTTTTTTTATTTCTCTCTGAAGATGCTTATTTTAATCAAACACCTTCAGCATGAAATCTTTCATGTAGATTTCATTTACTGCTCCAAATCAATTTCATTTATTGCTTAATGTTTAAAAATTCTTGATTTGTCTTCTACTGCATGATGAATATCAGATAGTGCAGCTTCATAGAGTAATATTGCCCAAGTTCTACTTCCTTAAATATTTGATTGTTGATGTATTTGAAATATTGATGAATTTATTTGTGACAGTCAACACTTGTAATAACTCATATTGGTAGATAGAAATCTTTCTAGTTTTTCTCTAAAGATGTATATTTGAGAAGTTTTCATGTCTGTAATGGCTCTAACCCTACTCCATTTAGATATTGTCTGCTTTGGCCTAATGACCTTACATTTGTCCCATTGGTGTACCTTTTCAATCGAGTCGTCTTTTGGTATGATGGGTGGAATTTCATTAGAAACTCAAAAGTTAAACATGCTCGTATGAGAGTACTCTGCAGTTGAAATTTCAATAGAATTCTTAAGGTTAAGCATGCTTGTATGGGAGCACTCCCAGGATGGGTGACCTCCTCGAAGTTACAGCAATGGAATAAAACCGTAAGGCCATTAGGACAAAGCAAATAATATCTTGATGGGTAATAGTTCGAGCTGTTACAACATCATTGTTGATTAGAATTTGATTGATATGCTACATAGCATGCACTTCACTGATTTGTATTCTTTTTTATTTCTTTCTCTGAGTCTTCGGGCTTTTTACATATACATCTCTGTTTTGATGAGACATTATTTGCAAAAATAGTTATTTGTGCTTTCTCTTCTTATTTAGGACATTTGCAAATTGCTTTTTCTATACAGGCATCTTGGATGTTGATGCTGAAAAAGCAGGGATGCAGGCATTAAAGTATGAAGTATGTTTCTGTGTAGATGATTTTTAAATATATATATATTCGCTAAATATTGGAACCTGTGTATTTCTGAAGAGCCATCCATAAAAATTGCATGCATGGTGTTTATTTTGAAAGAATCCTCATCAACAATGACCTTGCATAATTATAAATGATGAATTTGAATACTTGATTCTTGGATGAATGACTGTAGAAATATGTGTTTTTTCTACATAATCAAATTGTTGATGGTGCATATCTGAAATAATTGATGGTTCTTCAAATATCATTGTTGTTTGGGATCAGTTTATGTGCAATCTCTGTTCAGTTCTACTTTAGAAACTCATCTTTAGAAGCTTTGCTGATGACATTGAATAGAACTGCTTACTGAAGGAGGTAGGATGATCTTTTTAATCTTCTTTAGCTCTTTTCATCCTTTTAGAGATGGTGTAGCTTCTTGATTAATAGTACCAACATCTTTGGAAAAATGGAGTTCAACATAATGTTATAGCTGACATAAATCTTCAGCTGTGCCAGCACAGTTTCTGCAGCTCTAGAACCAATATGTACAAAAGCTGCAGAATTATATAAAGTGATTTAATAAGATCCCAAGGGAGGGGTGCATCATTAGCTGTTTACTTCAGTATAATGGGAGCAAAAGCTTTATTCTTGAGCATTATGTTTTCTGACTTGTGCATTTCCCACCATTTATTTTACTGGCCTTCACAGAAAGGTTTGAATGTCTTGAATTCGAAAGAACTTCTGCATGCCCCCTTTTTTCCTAAAAGAAGGGTTTATGTATTTTTGTACAAATTGGTTTTAGTAGTCCTTATTTGCAAGTCTCATTGGTGGTGTGTTTTGACATGCACAAATGTTGGCATGAGGTACTAAGTTGAGACAACATAGGCACAATTACACGACATAACTATAAAAAGTAGGCCATAACACGCCATGGATGCAATATTTTATTTACAAATTATAAATAGAAAATATATAATTAATACAATTGATATTAGTTTTTTTTAATATATAGAAGCATCACTCAACAAAGTATAATATCATATACTTCACATGAGAAGTTTAAAATTATATAATGGCGTTGTCCACTTCGTTGCTAGGGTTTCGCCATTATGGCGAAACCTGGTATCTCTTCGTCGATTTAGTCTTCGTCGTATTTCCTCCTTTTTCGTCATGCTTCGTTTGTGTCGTGCGGCGTCGGCTTCGCCTCGACTTTCGTCGCGCGTCGTCTATTCTGCGGCTGTTTCACGCTCGAAGAAGAGGTTTTGCTCCTCTGTTTCGTCTTCTGTCGTCAGCTGCGCCTTTGTGCTTGCTGCTCGCTGAAGGACGGGTTGTAGGGCCGATCGCGCTTCTGCGGCTCGTCTTTTGCGGCTCCGTCTTCTGCGGCTTCGCCCCGATTGCGATTTTCCCGTCTTCTACGGCTCATCCTCTGCACTCTTTTATGTTTCGCCCGCTGCTGCAGAGGTATAGGTTATTCCCCTTCGCCTTTCGCTCTTCCCTTCCACTACAAATTCGTTGTTCTTTCGTCGTGCCTCCCTCTTGTGGTGATGGCTTTGGACAGATCATATGCTACTGCCCTTGCGGGAGTCCACGCCTTAGGTACTCCTAAATCGTGCTCTTTCACTCCTTCATTTGAGTTGACGGAGGATATCGAGAAACCTGATAGGAAGAATGTGAAGTCTGTCATCTTTTTTATAGAAGCTGAATGTAATCAACTTGCTTCCTTCTGTTTTCTGAATTTGGTTGAGAAATTTCTTTATGATCATCCCAAAATAAAGTTTATTCGTAAGGAATTTGAGCTTATGCATCTTGTTGGAGAGTGAAAAATGGACTTCTAGATGGAATAGACATTCTTATTCAACTTGAAGAGGATTACACACAATTATTTGCTAGAAGAGTAATCTGAATTGATAATAGAGCAATGACCCACAAATGGAACCATCAATCATTCCGGGTTGGTGGATTTTGACCCACAAATGGAACCATCAATCATTCCGGTTTGGATTCGCCTCCCTGACCTAAAATTTTATTATTTTACTCAAAAAGTTTTGTACTCTATTGTCTCAACTTATGATAAGCCGCTCAAAATGGACATTCATACTTTTAATCTTTCCCGTCCATCTGAAACCAGAGTACTCGTTGAAAGGGACATCACTTTCATCGCTTATGAGGAAATTTGGTTAGGCACATAACACCATGGCTATTGGCAAAGGTTGTGATTGAACTTTTTTCTTCGTATTATTCGAATTGTCGTATGTTTGACCACTCTAGTTCTCAATGTCATCATCTATACCCCCACCTCAGATCAAAAAAGCAAAGTGTTCTGCCAGAGACAGTGATTCCCCCTTCTTCTGATATGCTCCAAGTTATTGACAGAATTGATCATCAAAATGATACCCCTGAAGATGCCACTATTTTTCACAGACAATATTTTAACCATTCAGCCTCCACACAATGCTGTAGTTTCCTCATCTTTGGAAGCTCTTTTCGTAGGGGCGAGGGATACATTTTAGACTTCACCTGCCCTAGAACCTATCACTGATGTTATGGATGGTAACATTGCTAATGCTTCTCTACTGCCTCATCAGGTCGAGCAAGAGGTTAATGCTACTCAGTCACATGGGGTTCATGACGTGCAACAGTCTACACTTGTCTGATCACCTTTGGACCAATCCACCGATCAGATGAGTTAATCCTCGGATGAGGAATGATAGGTTTACACATCCAAAAGGAAGAAGTAGAATGGAGACCTACTTGAGCTCAGGAATTTGATGGATGATACTTTGGTTACTTCGGGTAATGGTACATACCTCACCAATTTGTTAGCCGGCTCCCTTCCGAAAACTCGAGGCAGAGGCAGGACTAAACTGAGTGGTACCTAGCTTTTTGCGCGCGCTAATTGCTTTTGGTTTTTTGATCTTATATTTATCTTTTCTTTTTTGGGATTTTGTGTGTGTTGTATTGTGTGAGTTAAGTGCTTTCTTTTAGGCTCACCATACAACCTATCTGTATCTTTTCCTCTTTAATATATTTGCCCTAGGGCTTTTTCAAAAGAAAAAAAAGAAAAAAGAAGTTTAAAATTAATAAAAGAAAAATAAACATTACTTATTACAATTAATTTTTTTTTCTCATGCAATATTTGGCATTTTTTAATAAACAGTAGGATTAAATTTTGTTAATCATACTTATTTTGCCAATATCAACATCATCTAAAAGTATATAAAAAATCCTTAAAGATATTCATGCCTATTCTAAACAATTAAACAAAATATTACTTTCAGCATATCGATGATGTATGAATAATTGATGCTAACACATTCAATACTAAAGTAATTATACTCCTGTCCTTTTTAATAGTTCCTTCAGCTTCATTTCTTTTTCAAGGAACTTAGAGCATTCTAATGTAATCTATTAATATATTTCCACCAATATACAACTATATAGTGTCTTTAGATTCTTTATAAAACAGGAAGATTGCAGTGCATAAATATCACTGCTTCATCCCCACTAAGTATTAAACTTTTTCCTCTATTGAATTTATAAAAGATATATTCTCCATTTTTTTTTTCGGAATGAAATGGGCAATATGGTTGTTCTAATAGTTTAGAAGCCAAATTTTATTGTTTTAGGGAAATGGCATGATAAAACATCCTGTAAGCTTTTGCATTCATAGTATGTTTACAAGTTACGAAGTTTTGATTGACAAAACCCCACTAAGTGTAAAGAACTTAGCACACATTATACTTACTATTGCTTTTTCTTCAACATTTGGTAAAAAACCTTTTCAATTTATTTCATTAGATATCTTGGTATATTAACGTGATTTTGAGCTTTATTTAGCCAAACATAATTATAATATCTAAGAAAAGAATGCATTTAACAAGATTAATTCTCAGTTGGTATGCTAAGCATAGGTTAGTTAAATAATATCAACATTAAGGGAGTGAGTTAAGTGATGAAGGGCAATATTATTTTTATTTACCTTTGTATGAAAATGTCTTTTGTCACCTTAAAAAATGTCGGCTCCTCATTATTTTTATATCCTTCATGTCGATATATTATCTCTTTTCACTCTTTTAAGCATAGAATACATGTCTTGCATGAGGTGATGATAATGCTTATTTGTATACCTACTTTTAATACCCCCATGTATTGACTCCATAAAAGAAACAATGTAATTTATTTTTCCCCACCCCAAATTTCCAAATATATTTTTTTATCCACATCATCTTCTCGATACATGCTTTACTTGTCACTAATTATTCTAGTTTGTAATTCTTGTTCTATAATTTTGAAGTACTTAAGCATAATGTGTTAAGAAAGGCAGAGGTAGACTTAGGAAGACTTGGGCTTATTGTATTAAAAATGATCTTAATTTACTAGAACTAAATGAAAATATGACACTAAATAGGACGCAATGGAGAAAAATGATTCATGTAGCCGACCCCACGTAGTGGGATTAAGGTGGTGTTGTTGTTTTTGTTGTTGTTTAAGCATAATGCTTTTTTTATGCAAATTGAGTGCCTGTAAATTGACAATATATATAGCTTCACAAATTTATTGAAAGATTGAAGGCCTCCACAAGTGATTCATGATAAAAATGATTTATGAAGGTTTCAATTTTTGTGATATTTGTGATCCAATTTTTCTCTTTATAGCTTATCTTATCATCATCTTTTTGTCCTTGCAGCATATATACTATAATTTAAGAATGATCAATTCCAAGAAAATACCTGGGCTATTTGGTCTCCATTAGTATTTTTGTTGCTTTGCACATGATGCATCATTGGTGATTTTTCAAACCATTTATGTTAACCAACCCCATAATCATTTGCTTGATATATTCTTTTAGTAAAATTTATGTGACAGGCGCTAACAACTCCCGATTACGGGCACTAAAATAGTGCATGGTCTGAACAACGCTCGGTTCGGACATTTCAAATCACAAGGCCAACCCGTTGGGCATCGCAGAAGGGGGACCGTGAGTTCACAAATCCTCGCGAGGG